TTTTTTTTTTTTACAAAGAATACATAAAGTAAGAAAATACACGATACACTATGGAAATCTGAGACATCCTCTAACTTTATTTCTGTGGCATGCAATATGCTAGAAACAAATCCACAATCTGGATGGTTAAAATCTATCACTGCAAATCGAGATAGGCAAGACTAAAGAATCCCCCAGGTGCAAAATATCTTGATTAGTTGAAAACATATACCTAATACCCAGCTGAGTGACATGTGTCAAGTGACTTAATCTCTCTGAGCTTGTCTCCTCGGGTGGAAATGAAAATGAATAAAGCCCACCTTGAGAGCTGGTGTAAAGTTCTAAAAAGGCCCAGCATTTAAATGTACTTACTAAGGATTTGAATAAAGCAACTGCTTAGTTTCCCCTAGTACTTAACTAACCTCCAGTTTCTCAAATGGGGTTATTTTGCCCCTGTCAGATGATATTTGATGATGTCTGGAGATATTTCAGGTCACGGGAATGCTACTAGCACCCGGTGGATCAAGGCCAGGGACACCACTAAACACACAGTCGTGCACACCACCGCCCCGGGCAGTACAGAAGCATCTGGCCCAAACGCGAATATCGCCACTGTCGAGAAGCCACCATCTAGCCTTCGCTTGAACAGTTTTCATGATTGGAAACTATTCTCTTGGGAGGCTAGCCACTCAATCACTGGAGAGTCACCTGAGAAAACTATCAGTTCAGTTGAGGAAAAATCTATGCCTCCCACCTGCCAGCCATGGCTATGCTTGTGACACAACAAGGTACACCCATTCCTCTTCATGTGACAAGCCTTCTGATACTGCAAGGTGGCCGCTTTCTCTCTCCCAAGCCCCTAAACTTATAATCATATAGGATGTTCTGAAATAAATGAGCATGAAACCTCTACTTGGCCACATCTGAATGTCTTATTTCTAGTTTTGTCTATAGTCTAAAAACTACTAGGAGAGTTTAAACAAACTCACACAGATCAAAACTTGTCTGTAAAACTGTAAAGGACATTCAACAGATTTGTCTATAAACAAGAAGTTATGAGTCCATTGCCCAGGGTGCATTTTTTTTTTTTTTACCTCTTTCTTCCTTGCCCACAATAAAAAGGCAGCAAAACTGACACTTTGTTATACATCCCCTACACGAACCCCAAATTGTGCCATTTTATAACAAAAGTTTAGCACTGCTCTCAACGCACTGCATTACCTTTGAGGAAAAAAGGCAATGATACAGATTTATATGTGTGCAATAAGAAATACAGAAATAAAAAAAATCAAGTTTGCCATCTTGAGCTTGAAATCATTGTCAAATCTTATTGGAAATACATTTATTCTGATTTTCTGGCAATCTAACCCCCTTTAGCCATTTCACAGTTGGTGAGCAGAGAGGATGTTTCTGCCTCATTTGCAGTGTCTGAACATGATTCAGACAATCAACTGCAACATTAGTCAAAGAAATCAGCGGCTAATGATTTCTGACAGGCACTGCAGTAACAGGCTGAGGACCAGACTGGGCGGCAACAGCATTCAGGGGTATATTTTACCGGAGCCAGCGGTAACTGGGGGGAGATGGTAAACACGAAGGCAAACAGAACTAGTCTCACGTCACGTAAAGGCTTTTTCACACTTTATAAAAGCCACAGTATTTGACAGGCAATAAATACAGCAATTCTCTTCTGCAAATATGTTATCTTGAGTGGACACTGAGGACAGCTGGGTGTGTATCTTTGTAAACTGCAATACACAAAAGTGTTATAGTTAAATCTCTTGCATTCTGTGGAAACTATATGCTTCAGATGAGAGTTGTCTGGCCTTCCTATCATTAATATTGATCATTTGGAGTACTCTTTCTCCCTGAAGTCCGTTACTCATCATTTAGAGTATCTGCCACACCTTGACATTGCCCAACACCTACAGAAGAGGCTGTCTGGCCTCGGCGGGAAGACCGGGTGTTACACAGCTGAGTTCTAGCTTATCTTCTGCCATCAGCTGCTTGTGTGACTTTGGGAAAGTGACTCGGTTACCTTAGGCTTCACATTACAAATGTTCATGATGAGGGGTTGGGTCAAATGGTCTAAAATTCTCCCTTCCAAAAGTGTGATTTGGATTTTATGATGCTACATTGATATATTTAGTAATTTAACATATTCCCTGTGTGAATGAGATGAATGAGTTATTTTGAGTTATTTTAAAAAACAGATGAAGCTAGGCTCGGTGCCGGTAGCACAGTGGGTACAGCGCCAGCCACAT